TGGGCTACATTTATTGATGATATTTGAGTTCATGGGACTGAATGAGGTTAGTGAAGGAACACATATAAATTAGAGATTTGGGCTTAGTGAAAAGAGGAAAATAACCAAAATGGATGTCAGAAGAGACTCTGAAACTTGCTCCTAAGCACTGAGTAGCTAAAGTGAACATAAGAAATGATCAAGTGAAAGAGCTAAACAGAAGATTTCAAAAGGTGGCTTGAGAAAACAAGGTAATATGCAAGGACTTAGAGTTAAAAAACCAAAAGGGAAAAACATGATTGACACTTCTCAAGCTGAAAGAACTAAAGAGAAAATTCAAGCCTCGAGTTGCATTACTGAAGGATTCTATGGGCAAAATACTGAACGATGCAAGAAACATCAAAAGAAGATGGAAGGAATACAGAGTCACTGTACCGAAAAGAATTGGTTGATGTTCAACCACTTCAGGAGATAGCATATGATCAAGAACCACTGGTAGTGAAGGAAGTACCAAGTTGCACTGAAGGCACTGGTGACAAGCCTTCAGGAATTGATGGAATACCAATTGAGATACTTCAACAAAACTGATGTAATGCTGGAAGCACTCTTCTATGTCAAGAAATTTGGAAAACAGCTACCCGGCCAACTGACTGGAAGAGATCCGTATTTGTGCCCATTTCAAAGAAAAGTGATCAAATGGAAGGGGAAAATTATCCACAAAATTATTAATATCACACCCTAGCAGAATTTTGATGAAGATAATTAAAAAATGGCTGCAACTGTAGAGTGCATCAACTGGAAACTGCCAGAAGTTCAAGCCGGATTCAGAAGAGGATGTGGAATGTGGGATATCATTACTATTGTCAGACAGATCTGGGCTGGAAGCAGAAAATACCAGAAAGATGTTTACCTGTATTTTATTGACTACATGAAGGCATTCGACTGTGCAGATGACCAATCGTGGATAACATTATGAAGAATGGGAATTCCAGAACACTACTGTGGTCACGTGGAACCTGTACATGGATTTAGAGGCAGTCATTCAAACAGAACAAGGGGATACAATGCGGTTCAAAATTGGAAAAGGTGTGTGGCAGGGCTGTATCCTTTCACTTTACTTATTCAAGCCTGTATGCTGAACAAATACTCCAAGAAGCCAGACTGTGAAGAATGCGGCATCAGGATTAGAGGACGATTCATTAACAACCTGCTATATGCAGGTGACACAACCTTGCTTGCCAAAAGTGAAGATGACTTGAAACACTTAGTGACAGTCAAAGACTATCGTCTTCAGTATGGATTACACCTGAAGGTGAAGAAAACGAAAATCCTCACAACTGCACCAATAAACAACATCATGATAAATGGAGAAAAAATTGAAACCGTCAAAGATTTCATTCTACTTGGATCAACAATCAACATCCACGGAAGCATCAGTCAAGAAGTCAAACGATGTTCATTGGGAAAATCTACTGCAAAAGACCTCTTTTAAAGTTTTTTGTTTAAATAGTATTTTACTGTGTTTTAGGTTAAAGTTCACACAGCAAATTAGGTTCCCATTTAACAATTTTTATACAAATTGTTCTGTGTCATTGGTTCCAATTATCACAATTTGTCAGCATTCTCATTTCCATTCTGTCTGTTTGTTCTGTTTCCATTGATCTAGCTTTCCTTCCCCTCCTTGCCTTCTCATCTTTGCTTTTGGGTAAATGTTGACCATTTGGTCTCACATATTTGATAGTTTAAGACAGCACGTTACTCACAGGTGTTACTTTTTCATTTTAAAAACCAATCTATTACTTGGCTGAAATGTGACCTACAGAAATAGCTTCAGTTCCAAGTTTAAGGGGTATCTTAGAGTGATAGTCTTGGGGGTTCTTCTAGTCTCTATTGGTCCAGTAGGTCTGGCCTTTTTTTAGGAATTTGAATTTTGTTCTACATTTTTCTATTTTATTTGGGACCTTTCTTGTGTCCCTGGTCGGAAAAGTCAGTAGTAATAGCCAGGGACCATCTAGTTCTTCTGGTCTCAGATTAGAAGAGGCTGTAGTTCGTGTGGGCTATTAGTCATGTGGACTAGTTTCTTCTCTGAGCTTTTGATTCCCTTCATTCTCTTTTGCTCCGTATAGGTAGAGACCAATATTTGATTCTTAGATGGCTGCTTGCATGCTTTTAAGACCCCAGATGCTACTCACCAAACTAGGATGTAGAACATTATCTTTATGGACCAGGTTATGCCAATTGACTAAGTTGTCCCCTGAGTCTATGGTTCTAAGCCTTTTAACCCAGTAAACCAAGTTGTTTGGATATGTCTAGGAAGTGTCCGTAACTGTGCCCCCTATGAGCTTTGTCTCTTTAAAGTTTTAAAAAGCAATGCTATCACTATTCTGGATTGAATTGTGTCCCCCAAAAATATGTGTTGTAAATCCTAACCTGTATACTTGTGGTTATAATCCCATTTGGGAATGGATTTTCTTTACTATAATAATTAGACAGTATTAGTATAGGATATGTCCTAAGTAAATCTCTTTTGAGATATAAAAGAGCACATTAGGCGTAGAGAAGCAGGCAGAGATGGGGGAAGACAGATGCCAAGCCACATGAAGACTGCTGAGGAACAAGGACCTTCCTCCAGAGCCAACAAAGAAAGAAAGTCTTCCTCTACAGCCGGCACCCTGAATTCAGACATCTAGCCTCGAAACTGTGAGAAAATAAATTTCTATTTGTTAAAGTCACCCACGTGTAGTATTTCTGTTATAGCAGCACTAGATAACTGAGACAATCATTTTGATGACTAAGGTGCGCTTGTCTTGTATGTATGTGAAATCTGGACAATGAAAAAGGAAGGACAGAAGAATTCATGCATTCAAACTGTGGTGCTGATGAACAATACTGAATATACCATGAACAAACAAATTAGTCTTAAAAGAAATACAACTAGAATGTTCTTTAGAAGCAAGGATGGAGACTTCAACTCACTTACTTTGGGCACAACATCAGGAAAGACCAATTACTGGAAAATGACATCATGTTTGGTAAGGCAGAGGGTCAACGAAAATGAGGGAATCCTCAATGAGAATTTGTTGGACACTACATCAGAAGGTGGTCTGATAATTCTGTCACTTCTATTTAGAACAATTATCTTCAGCTCCTGTATTTCAAGTACTGTCAAGAAGGCACAGTTGTGGAAATGAAATAACAATTTATAAATATGAACGAAAATAGAATTTAAATTTTAAAGTAAAGGGAATATAAGAAAATATTCCCTAAAGGACAATGAGGATTTTTTTTTGGGGGGGGGCGGTGAGTGGGATCAGGAACTATCTTCTTTTCTACATTAACATATGCAGAAATAGCTCATCTATATCTCCTTTAAGGCCAAAATAACAAAAGAAACAAAAATGTTTTATCCATAGACTTCCACTTAAAGCATTTCCTCTGCTTAGAAACAGCAAATCAGCTAACATAAACGGCTAAGAGGAAGCCAGTCACAGATGACTACATACTGTATAATTCTTTTTGTATGAAGTTCAAGAACATGCAAAGCAAGACAGTATAGTGGTGATGGTTAAGTGGTGGGCATGGTTAGAAGGGGCACAAAGCCTTCTGGGATCTTGGATATATTCTATACACTGATCTAGGTGGTGGTTCCATTGAATTGTACATCTGGCATTTGAACATTTTACTGCATCTGTTAATTAAAGTACATATTTTTTAATATCTTAAATTAAAAAAAAAAAAAACCAAGGTCTTAAGAATCTCATTCCATACAGCATATTTTGTCCTTGCTAAGATGGTCAAAGGATTTAAGTAAAAAGAAGAAACATATTTAATGGTCTACAAGCTTCTCTTCCCCTCTCACCCCATCCCTACTTCAACCATCTCCCCAAGGGTGCCTCTACAACAGTCTAGCAGGAATTAAAAACAACAACCAAAAGAAAATGCCAGAGGATAAGGATGTTTGAGTTTCATCATTTTCAGGGTATATAAACAAGTTCCTGGGTCCTTTTTCCACCAAACCAAAAGTAAACTCCCAAAAGGAGTCTGAAAGGAATCATAATGTAAACACCAACCTTTTAATCATTACTTGGTATATAATCATTACTTGTATATTTTAATCATTACTTGGTATATTGCCCTAGCTCATGGCTATGAACCTATATCTAAAAAGATCCTTCTATAATTTCCGTTTTAATTTTACTTTGACAATTTGGAATAGGATAAAATGACAGAAAAATTTTATCTAAATTTCAATTAACTCCCTTACTGTCAATTGCTATTTTTTTTAGCGAAGGACGATCACATATATTAAACAGTTCAGAGAATAAAAAATTCCTTCCCATTGCCATTTTAAAATGAAAATATCAAACGAAAAAGAAAACATATTTATTACATCTGGTTGTTACATTAGTCACAAAATGAAATGTTGGAATCTGCCTGTTGGTTAAATGTTCAGAACTATAAATAATGAGGCACAGTATTAAGATAACCCACCACACACACGCCATGCAATCAGCAGATGCACTGCTTCAGATATTTCGACTTCAGCGAAAATAGGAAACAAAGTCATGTAAAGGTGTTTCGGGGGACTGAAGCTGTCTCTTTTCACCCTTCAAATAATTTTTAGATGTCAGTAAAAATAAGTAAAATTTTAAAGTCTTCATAGATACTTCAGGATTCTAGTAGAAGCCCTGCAACATAAAACTCTAAGGCTTTATATTCTTGCAGGGTTTTAGTTAACCGAGCAAAGAACTGATCTGTGGAACTGAAAATATTTAAGGAAAAACAACTAGGGGTCTTGTCTGCAAGGCAAAAGCTCAGGACCTCGGAGCAGGGTTGCACTAAACTGCCGAGATGCAGAGCTTTAATTATTGCCTTCTTTTAAAACTTGCCGTGCGGGAGTGAGGGAGCGGAATTAGGCGCCGCGGGGGAGCCTCTTGGGTGGTAAGCAACCCTAAGATCAAAGCACTCCACTCGTTCCGAGAAAAGGGGCCAAGGAAAGACACAGGGCAAGAGAAACTCACTTTTGAAAAGCACCTTCCGGTTACAAAGCACTGTCACATTCTTTATCGGACACAGTATCCTTTTGGCTAGCCTCCAGCGTCTACAGAAACAAAAGGCCCAACTTGGGGTTCTCTTCAAATCTGGGTTCCAACCCCCTCGTTCTCGTGGCTACGCAACCCGCGCGTCGCACCGACCTCCTCGGCGCCAGCCGGACGCGCACGTCACTCGCTTGCTGCCAATCGGCACCCGTCAGGTCACCTCCCCTCCCAGGACCCACAGCACCGCCCCCTCCCGCCCGCTGCCGGGACCCAGGCCGTAGCACGCCGCCCGCCCGCCGGCCGCTTCCGCTCTCGGCGCAGGCGCGGCAGGTCTGCCTGTGAGTGGAGGGGGTTCGGGAGAAGAGCGGACGCTGCTGGTGAGGATGGTGCTGGAGAGCGTCGCCCGCATCGTGAAGGTACAGCTTCCCGCGTATCTTAAGCGGCTTCCAGTCCCCGAGAGCATTACCGGGTTCGCCCGGCTCACAGGTAAACCGCCCCATCAGCCAGTGCCCATTCTTGCGCTCACCCCTGGGAAGTGTGGTGGTGGTGGTGGTGTAAAATTTTGGGGCCAAGGGGTGGGGCCGGGCGAGCGGCGCGTGACTCGTGAGCCCGAGCGGTGGGGGCTGAGTGCGCAGCCGCGTCCAGAGCGCGTGCGATGCCAGCTCTCGGCGCTTGGCTGCCGTCTAGCCGCTGTTTGCGGTATGGTTTCGTGATGAGGGACCGGTTTTTTGCCGAGGAGGTGGCCGAGTTGGAAACAGGCCCGTCTCTTTCACCTCCTGCATCTAGTATCTGTCCTTTTCATAGCACTCTGCAGTATGCTTCTTTATTCTAAAGCAGGTTAGGTCCGCTTTAGCTAAGGCGCTATGTAACAGGCAGTCCCTGCTCACCGCTGGATTTTTCCCGTGTAAGAGTGAGTGTGTGCGAGAGAAATATCGACGTAACAGGGTAACACGCATGTGGCTGCTTTATTTAGTAAAGAAATTAGTAAATAACCTCCATTCCCACAGGGGACAGTTCACCTATTCTCAGGAGCATTTGAGGTCACCTCCGTTGCTATGGGCGCCGGGGCAACTGAGGTGACTCGAGTTGGAAGCAAGATATATTAGCCAGAAAGTATTCAAAGCTAGGTATTTATGGGGCCATATCTCACAAAATGAAAACTTAATGCATATATATGAGGTAGTGTGTTTTTCACTGGACAGTGACAACAGTTGCAGAATCTCTTTTGGAGTACTGTGGAAGAAAGGAAACCCTGGTGGCGTAGTGGTTAAGAGCTACGGCTGCTAACCAAAGGTGGGCAGTTCGAATCCACTGGACGTTCCTTGGAAACCCTATGGGGCAGGTCTACCCTGTCCTATAGGATCGTTATGAGTCGGAATCAACTCTACCGCAATGGGTCTGGTTTTTGGTATGGAAGACAAACTTCAATGACTGTTTTCCACTTTTAATCTCTTCAGAAAAGGTTGTAATAGTTAATAACATTTAGTTCTCCTGAATAAGTTACATGTGGAGTCCATAATGTAGGCCTTTGTTGGACCAAAAATTTGATAGACAATTTTGAGCAATGAATTGCTTAAATGTTTAGGAGACAAGATATTTTCATTTTTCATCTGCAAATTAGAAAAAAAAATTACATTATTGTTGCGTATTTTTCCTTCCCTGTTTAGACCTAGCAGTTTTTTTAAGCAATTGATACTCTCGTGATGACACTGCATTCTTAGTAAACACATAGCGATCCTGGATTACCATGCAGTGTTTAAATACTGATAATCCTTATCTGTCAGAAACAATGTATTTTTCTTTGTTTAGGTCAGATTTTCAAGAGGAAAGTTTTTAAGATAAATTAGTGTGAGTCTGCTCTTGTATTTGTATAACATATGCTAATACTTGAAGTTTTCAAAAAATTTTCCCAATTAGCATATTTACCTTTAAAATAGAGCAACAAAATAATCTTTCCAGTCAACACTTCCAGGTTTAAAAACTAGTTATGAAACTTTGAAAATAGTAGTTCTTGCCCACTTGAACTAGTTGGCTTCTTTAAAATACGAAGGTTTTTACTCAAAGCAATGAATCCTAAAACTTTAATAATATTTGTCCCAGAGTAGCACAAATGCATCAGAGCTGGCAGCTATAAGGACATTAGCTGTATTTATCCAGAAAGGGCCAATTTTGAATTGAAATGGAACAGAATTGAAAACATGTATCTACAAAAAGATTTGTACAAGCATGTTTATAATAGCCTTATCTGTATAGCCCAAAACTGGAAACAATCCAAGTATCTTATCAACATGAGAATGGATAAACAGATTATGATATATTCATATGAGTGGAAAACTGGTCAGCAATAAAAAGGAACGAATTACTGAAACACTGGATGAATCTCAAAAAACTGTATGTTGAGTGAAAGAAGCTTTGATTATAGAACTCATTAGTTAGAAGGAATAGAAGAGCAGGAGAAAACTTTCTGGAGTGATGGAAATGTTTACATAGTTTCTGTGGTTGCTACCCAGGTGTATTTAATTGTCAAGACTCTTAGGGCTAAATAGTTAAGATCTATTTATTTTAATTTGTATGTAAATTATACTTCAATTTTTAAAAAAGGAAGGAATGGAACAAAAGATGAGTTTTCTCAATAGGGAAAGCATAATTTAAGTTCAAATTAAAGAACTGTATTTATTAACTTGTAAATAATAGAGATTATTCCTAAAAGAGTGAAGAATCTTTAAACAACTTTTTTTTGAGAATTTGGGAAAAGATTTATGTAGTTACTTTAACTTATAAAAATTTCCCCTCTTGCTGTTTTGACCAACCGTATTTAAAAATCTATTTTGCAGTTTTAAATTCCTCAAGTCATCAAATATCTATTGAGCATCTACTATAGGCCAGGTAATGTTCTAGATACTGGGACACTGTTCTATTCACAATAGTGAATGAAAAGAAGTTTTTAAAATTGATCATTAATTTCATTTTTATAGGTCTTTTGGTCCTGAACACAGTTTTATGTTAATAGTAAAGCCAATCCATTGAAAATATTTATTCTCATATTTTGTGTAATTTAGAAGTAGGAATCATTTCTGTCTCTTGACTAAATGATACTTAAGAAAATGTAGTGAAATCATCAGCCACCAAGTGGCCAATGTTATTTTTACATTATTATATGCAACTTTTTGAAAATTTGAAAAGGAAAAATTTCTTCTAATTCCTTAAACAATAATTCTTCATTGAGATTCATGTATGTATATGTATAATTTTAAAATGTTTTTATAATAAGAGTGTTTATATATCTTGATTAGGAATAGAGTGTGTTGATAGCTAGTTTATTTAACTATGTAAAAGGCTGAATCTGCCCCTTAAACCTTTTTTTCTCTAAGGAGATGCTTTCTTTCAACAGTGTTTAATTTAAACTTTTGTAACGGTTTATGTTAAAATTTCCTGCTGCTTGAGTTGTTTTGACATGTTCTTTTTGGTTTAGATTTGATTTCTCCGATGGTGCTGGTTCTTTCACTTTGACTTCTTAGTCTTATTATTGTTTATCTTAGTAGTGGGTAATAGAAGTCAAATAGATACTAGAACCCTGCTCAATATTAATAGTATAATGTGGTCTGACTTTTTTTCTTTTTTACTCAGAAACAGGTGATTAAAAAAAAATTAGAAATAGGTAAGCTTCACTAATAGAAGAAGTTCTTCTGGAAGTTAAAATTTGGAATTAAGGAAAACAATGTTTAAGAAAAGTCAACCCTTTACATTCAAATGAATAAACAAAATGTTGTCTCAGTGGGTATCTCTTCAATGGATTGAACCTTGACGTCAGCCAGTTCATCTGTATGACTTAACATCCTCAACTACTAAATGCATACCTCTCCAACTCCTGCTCTCTCAAACTTGGATCTTCCTAATCCTGACTTGTCTCCTGAAACCCCTGTTTAGCTTCAGCTTCTCATAAAGGCACCTCCTTGTCCTAAATGAAACCAAGCTCTCCCTGAGAAAACCACTTCCCCTGTAGCCCTCAGTGTATCTGTTCTTTCTCTACCCTTCCTTGTCTTTCTGGGATGGAGGAACAGAGAGAGTTGACTCTGCACGGTTATTTCCACGCTGGAATTCTTTCACTCTCTTTCAAAGCTTTATCTTCCTTTAAAGCTTCTGCCATCCCTCAGTACCACGCTCCTTATTCTTTGTTGTCAACTGTTGATCTTCAGCCAACACCCAACATTCTTTAGGGATGCTCTTATTCTTCTGTTTTTCCTATAACATTGTACTGTTTCTTCCTGCTTAAACCTGCCTTCCTCTTTCTATACTGTGGTGTGTGTGTTTAATATTATAGATTAGTACCACCATCCATCCAGATAATGAAACCAGAAATCTGGGAATCATGAATGAACTTCACTTCCTCTATTTACCTCATGTTCCATACCTAATCTATCACCAAATCCTATAGATTTTACTGTCTGAATTAGTGGTCCTTAAGTTTTGAGAGGGGTGGTGGTTAGATCACAGGCCTACTCTAAGATCCTGGTGAAGGCTATGGACCATCTCTTTAGAAAACCCACACATGCACACACATTCATACACACTGTTGTAGGCAGTTTTTAGTCCTCCCCCTCCCCCGCATTCTGTATTATTGCAATGGATTTCCGAGAGGTTATCTTGTCTCTTTTCCTCCCCACCACCAGCCCTCTCTCCCTGTTCTTTATGTCCCTCCTCTAATTCATCTTCTATCTGATACCAGTATGACTTCATAAATGAAAAATTTTCCAGTTACAGTACTGTTCAAGTATTTCAGTGGTTCATATTATACATAGGATAAATTCCTAGCTTCCTGTTACACATCAGAGCCTTTCATGATCTGGCACCTGCTCACTTCTACAGTCCCCACCCTACTTCTTTATATTCAGCAATACGTTAGAGTTCTAACCTTTCATGCATGTCCTGTCTCTGTGCCCTTGCCTATGCTGTTTCCTGTGCGTGGAATGCATCTCCTCCTCCCATTTGCCTGATGAACTCCTTACTCATCTTTCAGAAACCTGCTTAGGTGTCAGATCCTCTCTGTAAAGTCTTTGCTCATCCCAGCAGAGAGTTTCTCTCTTCCCAGCAAAGAGTTCATCTCTTCTATCTCTGTATTGCTTATATATTACACAGTATTATAATCCTTTTTTTTGTTAGTCTGTATTCCACACTAGATGGAAAGCTCCTTTGTGGTAGGGCCTGTGTCTTATAATTTTTGTATCTTCAATACCTGGCATATCACCTGACATGTGTCAGTGAGGCTTTATAGTTCCTAAGGATGCTTGAAATTTTTTTCTTAAATATTTTAAATAGTCTTTCTTACTGTCTTACAGTCTTACACTGTTATCATTCATAAGCCATGAACAAAGGCAAACACATCAGCCCTTACAGTAGTTACCTCAGATGCCAGTTTAATGGAGTACAGATTCAATTCACCTAAAATTTATTGAGATCTTGGTTTATATAAGTCTCTATTAGAGGGTAGGAAGCTGTAGATCTTTTTGCTCAGTAGGGGAAGTGACGGATATTTACATAACTAGCTTCAAGGCAGAGTGCATTAATACTCCTTTTGAATAGTGCTTTATAGTTACTGAGTGGTTTCTTCATTCATTCCTCCGAACAGTCCTATAAAGTTGGTAGGTTCTTTGCACGTATTCTTTTCTTCCCTGTGCCTTGAAAGTTCTTCTCTCAGTCTTTAAGCAAGAACTTTCAAGGCACAGGGAAAAGTATGTGCAAAGGACTTAGCAGTTTCACAGGTCTGATGGTTTTAGCTTAAAGGTCTTTTTTCAGAAACCTTCCCTGACCACCTTACCTAAAGTTGCAGCCAACTTACCGCTTTGCTCCCAGGTTACTCTCTTTCTGTCTTACACCTCCGTTGCTGTCAATTCCATTCCGACTCATAGCGACCCTGTAGGACAGAGTAGAACTGCCCCATAGGGTTTCCAAGGCTGTAGATCTTTATGGGAGCAGATTGCCAGGTCTTTTCTCCCATAGAACCACTGGTGGGTTTGAACTGCTGATCTTTCGGTTAGTACCCCAGGGCTTAACCGTTGCACCACCAGTGCTCCTTATAGTTAAAAATAGTAGGCAAATGTTTTTCCCTCCGGTATCAAATATCTGTAATAGCTCAACATACATCAAATAGGTTCATAGGAAATAGCCTTAGAGGGTTTTTTTTTAATTTCTTGTTTGATTTTTCTGTATTTTACATTTCTTCATTAAAAATGAGCCTTAATAAAAATATTTCAAATGATTTTAATTGAGCTCTACAGGCTGTATTATTTTCCTTTATAAAACTTCTCTATAATTAAGTTGATCATCTTTAGAAAATAGATTGCACTCAGACTGTTTTACAACTATAACTTTGTTGCAGGAAATAATGACATCTCGTTATTGTATTACTTTACTTCACCAAGAATTAAGTGTTCCCAGAGGACAACATTTTATGAAGAGATTTTAAAACAGTATTCATACCGTTTGTTCCTTGAGATTTGTGGGTTGAGAAATCCAGAAATGCTGGATTTAAGTTAAGGTTTTCATCTTTACATTCTTGTTCATTTGGTTTTTTACTTTGGGTCATTTAACCTCTGGTAACCTTTTTAATTTGTAATATTCAGAATAATATTTAATGTTATTCTACATTCAACAAACATTTATTAAATGACTGCTATTTCAAGATACTACACTAGATACTGGGGCCAATAGCAACCAAAGAAATTCATTCCTAATCTAGATAAATGTAACTAAATACTTACAGTACAGCGTGGTCAGTGAGAAAGCAAATGACATTCTCTACATTCATTTACTCAGTAAGTCATTTATTAAACACTTACGAGCCATCTTTCGTGCCAGGAATTGTAGAACGCAGCTTCTTTTCTCATAGGCTTATGGAACAGCCAACTTTATAAACAAATATTAACCGAATTGTGATAACAGAAACATAAGGAAAAGGGAAATACAGGAGGAAGTGATTAATTTTGCTTTGTAAAATCAGGGCAGAGTTCTGGAGGAGAGAACATTAGACTGTAGTCTTGAAGGGTCTGTACAAATTAGTTAAACCAGGAGTAGAGAAAGGCATTGCAAAGAGAAGGAACTTCATGTGCAAAGAATACAGGAAGACTACTTAGGTAATAGCTTTGGCTGGCTGCAGGTACATGAGGGATGGGATGTTTATAAGAGCTGAAACTGGAAAAGTATCCTTAACCATCCATGCTAATGAAGTGGTGCTTTGTGGAACTAGTGGTCCGTAGCAGCACTGTCCAAAATCTTCCTGTGAGGGTAGAAATGTTCTTTGTGCTGTCAAATACAGGAGTCACTAGCCACTTGTGGCTTATGAGCTCCTGAAGTATGACTAGTGTGTCTAAAAAACGAAATTTTAAAGTTTGCTTAAATTTATTAAATTTAAATAGCCACATGTGGCTGTTGGCTACCATATTGGACAGTATTGATCTATAAGATAGACCTCTCCCCTGCTTCCAAAACAATTCCGTATTAATCTCCAGGACTTTAATTCATTCAAAGAATCTGTGTGGTGCGCCTCTACTCTGGTTATGAGGATATAACAGCCAACATGACAGACAAGGTACTTATACTCACAGAGCTTCCTTCTGGCGACCAAAACAATGCATCACTAAAGATTTCTACCATATAGCATAGTCAAGTTGATTTGGCAAAATACTTTTTTCAAAGGAGTTGCTACTACTTCCCTACCAATCTACATAATCTGTTAATAAAAGCTACCATTTATTGTGTGTCTTCTTTGTGCCAAGGTACTCTTATAGGTGCTATACATGTAATATGTAAATAGGTTATTTTATTTAGATCTCATAACAAGCTTTTGGCATTATTCCCATGGTGTCTTATCAAAAATAATTTCACTTGGGAAGAATTGGTATTAAGCCAGTCTTATAGTAGTTAAATGATAAGAACAATTATCTCTTGAGAGTAGTTTTACTAAGAGAGGAACAGATTTAATTTTAGATCTGTTTGATTTCATGCCATGGTTATTGAGAACAGGCTTTGGATTTTGAATGTCTTGGTCTAAACTTGCTTAAGCTACAGTTTACCCACCTGTAAAATGGGAATAATAATAGTGCCTACCATGTACAGTTGTTTAAGCTAACACTGTTAGATAATACAGTGGCACTCTTAGCATACTCTATTCATTTATCATTAATATTCATTAGAATGCACTGACACATAATACTTAGTTTCTTTTATCTATCTAGCTATTTCTGTATAATGTCTAGCAAGGAATCAGGTAAGTGCTGAGTACAGGAAGTTAAATGATAGCTCTTTAAGAACAGAAAAGATTCGCTGCAGAGCCCAGCAGAAACAAGGCAGTAGCAGACATTTGAGAAATGCATGCTGAAATGTTTATCTTATCTTCCTGGTGTGTTTTGTCTCCACAGGCATAGGGACCATTTTGTTTATATCACTTGTAATCCCTCTCACCATAGGACAGTGCTGGGTATTCCAGAATGCATTTAATGAATTTTTATGGAATGATAATGTATCTTACAATGAGAACATTCAGTATATGAAGATTTCAATTAGTTCTTTAAAATCTTACATGTTTAGGTATTTCTTTAGTTATTATGATGATATAAAAGAATGTAAATTAAGCATTGAAGACGTTTTGAAATGATCATAATTTATGACTCTGAAATTATAAGTCATTGTTAAAATATTTTGCAGATATTCTTTTGTATGGTTTTGTAAAAAACAGCTTGGGGGCAGTGACTGACCTCCTCCAACCCCACAAGGGGGAAGGAGAACCAGGATAAACAGCCCAAGTCTGATTCCTATGAGGCGGGGGTCAGACATGTCTCCTCTCTCCTTCATCTTTACCAATTCTGACACCAACTGTCCCTCTCACGGCACTCTCTACTTTTCTGCTGAGTTCAATAATTCATTGCAGTGGCCACACAGAATTCACCATACTTAGAATTATGGGGTTTATTCAGGAAGTAACAGTTACAGTTCAGGCTCAGGAACACTCAGGATACAGTTCTTCCATCAGAATAGCCTATTCCCCGCCTTGCTCGCAGACACGCCTCTCACTGGCCCTCAGTCTCTGCCCATAGGCACTCAGCTTTCTCTGTCCGTGGGCTGGGACGCCCACTACGCCATCTCCTCTGCCAGGTCTCCTGCCACTGCTTCTCATCGACTTCAGGGCTACAGCTCTCTGTCTCTGTCTTTTGTCTCTGTCTCTCCTCTCTCTATTATCTCTCTCTCACTCTGTCTCTCATCCACTTCCCCCCTCCCCCCGCCCCAATAGGGTTTGTATGGTTTTAGACATGGTATAAAGGAAAAAAAGGTGAAAATGTTTTCTTAACTTATAAAATACATGGCACATTTTCTAAACCTATAAAATGCATGGCACACTGAATTTTGTTTATACTTACAGTAATCATACTTCCCAACATACAAATAAAGACAAATGCAAATATACTTCATGGGGACAGTGAGAGGATATTTGGAATAGGACCTATTTCTGAAAATTTACGTTTCCAGTACCCAGAGTCTCAAGTTAGCCCATAATAAAACAAGGTAGTCCTAGGTATAGCTGGCTAGATTGTATTATTATTCACAGTTTTACAGATGAATTAAATAGTTAAGAAATTATGATGAGAATTAATTAATAAATAAACTCAGTGAAATCAGACATGCTATTTTGAGTTGTATTTCAGCAAGAGGACTGCAATTCTAACAAATCTGTACATGTTTAGTTTCAGAATGGCTTCGGTTATTGCCTTTTCTTGGTGTCCTTGCACTACTTGGCTACCTTGCAGTTCGTCCATTCCTCCCAAAGAAAAAACAACAAAAGGATAGCTTGATTAATCTTAAAATACAAAAGGAAAATCCCAAAGTGGTAAATGAAATAAACATTGAAGATTTGTGTCTTACTAAAGCAGCTTATTGTAGGTGTTGGCGTTCTAAGACGGTAAGATGTCTGTTTACACATACAATAGAATTTTGTGGAGTTAGAATTGTTTTGCTTCCTAAATTCCCAATTTTGAGGTTCTGTAAGATGAGAGATTTGTTCATAGTATTCAGTATTGAAAGTCTATATTCTTAAGTTTGAATTTGCAGTTGATACTACCTATATTTGCAAAGTTAGAGCAGCAAGAAAGAATAGAAATCTGATGTTTTCACAAGGCTCAGCTGTTATCTAAAGTAGTATCTATTTACTTTTAAAATACTTTTTATTCTTTGAGAACGAATGTAAGACTTAGTGGAAAAGAGCTTAGACTTTGGAGTCAGAATAAATTGTGTTCAAATATGGTGTCTGACACCGTATGACTGGTTAAGCAAGGTACTTAATTTTTAATTTCTTTAATCTTTAGTTTTTTGAAGTCTGATAATTTATTAACATAACAGGTATTGTTGAGGATTTAGTTAGTTGATGTATGTAAAATGCCTTAAACAGTATGTACTAGTAAGTGGTAGTTATAATTATGAATGATTTTTAATGTGGAAATTAAAAAGGAGTTTGGAATGATGAGTACTAAAAGCAGTTGATGAAATCTGTCTCTTGTATTACTTTAATCGTAGGATATTTGGGGTTTTAAGTACAGTAATGTTCATTACAGCATCATTTATAAAAGCAAAATTTTTGAACAATTTAAGTATTTGATAAAAGGGGAATAACTAAAGTATGGTATAATACAAATGATGGAATGTTACGAAGCCATTGAAATCATACTTATAAAGAATATTTAATGTCATGAGATCACAATGTAATATAAGTAAGAAAAGCAAATTATAGTATGATCCCAGTTTTGCTTAAAATGTATGTACTCAGACACAGTAAATGCATAGGGAAAAAATGTACAAAAATGTTGATTATTGTTCTCTATGTCTAGATGGATTATGAGTGAATTTTTTTTCTTAAATATATTTTTAATAGTCTTCAGAAAATTTACAGTATGTAAGAGCTCAAGCTGTAAACCAAAAGGTCAGCAGTTCGAATCCACCAGCCATTCCTTGGAAACTGTATGGGGCAGTTCTACTCTGTCCTGTAGGGTTGCTGTGAGTCAGAATCAACTCTACAGCAACAGGGTATAAATTATAGTAAGAAAACATTATGAAATGATTTATTTGAAATTAAAAAAAAATTCAATATGTAAAGCAGTGAATAAACTCAAGTTTAGAACTCCACAGGGAAGAAGAATTTATGTTGATTCTTTTTAAACCTATTTTAGTTGCTCATGGAATCATGCTAAGGTATTTATTTAAAATTGACACCAAATAATCAGTTTAACTATTTAAATTGTCGTATTTGCTATGGTATCAGAATGATGTTAGGTTAGATGTAGGAAATACAGGTAGTCCCTGATTTACAATGTATTCGAGTTATGATGAACTGCAGTTATGACTATCTTAAGTTTTTTTTTGTACATCTTATCGTTAGTAATATATACTACATACAGTGTTGCAGCGTGTAATTTGCTGATGTTATCATTCTCAGATGTCCACTCGCAGGTGTTCAATGTTATGATTTATACAGATACTGATAATAAAAGGCAATAATAAAACTAAAAAAAAAAAATGAGGTATTCGACTTACATCAGAACCAACTTATGACGGAGTCATCAGAATAGAACCCCGTCGTAAGTCAGGGATGACCTATATCTATTACTCAAAGAAAGCTATCTGGTGATTTTTTTTTCTTGGAAAAGTATTTTGCTTTCTTTATGAGAATATTTCACAATTTTTTCATTTTGTTGGATCGTATTTTTAAAGTAACAATTCTTTTTCTCTTTCTAGTTCCCTGTTTGTGATGGTTCACATAATAAACACAATGAATTGACAGGAGACAATGTGGGCCCACTAATACTGAAGAAGAAAGAAGTATAATAGTCTATAATAATATAAGACTAGTGAATTAGGAGTGGATCAGCTGTGTGCTGTAAAATCCTATAACAATATTTTCTCATTCTTTGTGTATAGAAAATCTTTGAAATGGTGGTCTTAATTATTACTACTGATTGAATAATTATTTCTGCCAATTTATTTTCTTGCTACACTACTGTTTATATTTGGTACTTTGTATAATAGTCATTTATATAGAAATTGTGAAAGTCTCTCATTATGACTTCGAAGAATTAGTGTATCTTCCAATAATAAAATCAACACTTCTCAACACTTAATTGAGAAAATCTAAATTATTGGCAATGGGTCCAAAGCTGTTAGTGTGAATATCAGTATTTTCAACAGAATGTATACTTAAATTTTTTTTCCCAACAGTGTTAAATATGTTATTTTTCAGATCTCTTTTGTTTTGATCCTTTGAAGTGATTTTCCCCTTTTGTCCTTTCACATTCCATTCTTTTTAGGATAAGAAAAATATTACTGTCAATAATTACCTGAATTTTCACAGAGATAAACTCTTACCTTTGTACAAATTATTGTCTAATACGAATATCCCAATTTCAGGAAAGAAGTAAACTGGATGTAAAACACTCCAACAAGGAACGGTTATTTACATTATAAAGGATTTGTTTGGTTTACAAAGGCTTGTTTGTATCTGTTTATGTGTGCTTTTTTGTGTGTGTCTTGAGCTGTTTGACTCAGTAAGGGGGTGGGGTGAGGCGGAGTGGCAGCACTAGAAATCGACAAAGTATATCTGAACTCATATTAAAATGATAATAGTTCAGAGTTCAAAATTGTATTTATATGAACATTTTTCTGTTTAAAGCAGTGTAAACCATAAAAACATATAAAACTTTTCTGTAAAAATAGTTACAAAATTAATGGAGAATCTTTATAAAGTTTTTGTAATTTTTTAGCCTACTGTTAAGTCTATTTTGTTTCATCTTATATTTATAAATCTCATATTAATAGCTGTCCTTAAGTCTGCCTACTGAAGGTACAAGTCTGTTCAGTTCACTATGCCTCCTTTTTATATGAAAATACAGGAGGCAGACATGTTTAATCCTTATTGCAATAATGAAGCTATTAGTTATTAAGCACTTAATATGTACCATACTGAAATAATTTTGATTAAAAGGCCAAATCACTTCTACTTTCTTCATCTAAATGTAATGAAAGCTCTGCTAAACCCAATAGAGTGAATCCCATCTTCTAAGCCACAGTGTGGAGTCCTGGTGGCTCAGTGGTTAAGAGCTCATTGCTAACCAAATGGTCAGCAGTTCAAATCCACCAGCTGCTCTTTGGAAACTCTGTGGGGCAGTTCATTCTATCCTATAGGGTCACTATGAATCGGAATTGACTCAGCAGCAACGGGTAAGCCACAGTGTAAGGAGCCCTGGTGGTATAACTGTTAAGCACTTGGCTGCTGACCAAAAGATTGGTGGTTTGAACCCACCAGCTGCTGCACAGGAGAGACCTGGCAATCTGCTTCTGTGAAGATTTCAGCCAGGAAAACCCTATGGGGCAGTTCTACTTTGCCACATGGTTCGCGATAATTTGTAATCGTCTCAACAGCACCCAACAACATGTCCCAGACACTGCTTAGCATGGCATCTGGATTACTTATTACACATATGTCAATAGGTTTCTGTTGTGTGATCTTCAGTGTTTGTGACCAATAGCAGGAATCTTAGGGTTAGAAATGTAGTCTGTGGTTTTGAGAAGTTTTACAAGTTGTATGTCCAAAATTGTTGCTTCTTACATTCCCTGCCTGACATTTGGGGAGAAATACAACACTGTTCTTCAGCTCTGGTGGTCCTTCCTGAATCCTTTCCTTCAACACCCTTGAGGTCTTCACTGTGAGATTAACCATTTATTCTCCCACAGCTGATCCCAAGACTTCCGAAAAAATTCCTCCTCACCAAAAGTTTGTGGTCATGAAATACTTTTCTTTATATAAAATTATCTGTAGCAACTCACCGCCAACATGTTTTTATACGTGTTCTAGTGGTTCCCATACTTGAATTTCACTGGAAAAGGTAAAATTTCCTTAAAATGTAGAGTTGTTGTGTATCATCAAGTTAATTACAACTCATAGCAACTTTATAGCACAGAGTAGAATTGCCCTGTGGGGTTTCCTAGGTTGCAATCTTCATGGGAGCAGATTGCCAGATCTTTTCTCCTGTGGAGCTGCTAGTGGGTTCGAACTGCCAACCTTTCAGTTAAAGGACGCCTCAAAAAAAAAAAAATATATGTATATAAATATAAAATTACCAACTTTTAATTTTGTCAGGAACATTTAAAAAATTGAAAACTATTTCATAAAAGGGAATTTTTTAATACCCGCGAAGTAAAAAGACTATACTGTCAGAATAAAATCTTTTTTCCCATTTTCAATTGTTAAATATATTTAAAAAAAAAAAAACTTGGTTATCTAGTGCTGCTATGACAGAAATACCACAAGTGGATGGCTTTAACAGAAGTTTATTCTCTCACAGTCTGGGAGGCTAGAAGTCCGAATTCAGGGTGCCAACTCCAGAGGAAGGCTTTCTCTCTCTGTCAGTTCTGGGGGAAGGTCCTTGTCATCAATCTTCCCCTGGTCTAGGAGCTTCTCAGCATAGGGACCCCAGGTCCAAACGACCCGCTTTGCTTCCGGTTCTACTTTCTTGGTGGTATGAGGTCCCCCTGTCTTTGCTTACTTCAAAGAGACTGACTCAAGAAACAACCTAATCTTGTAGATTGAATCCTGCCTCGTAACTGCCTCTAATCCTGCCATTAACATCGTAGAGGATTTACAACACATAGGAAAATCACATCAGATGACAAAATGGTGGACAGTCACCCAACACTGGGAATCATGGCATAGCCAAATTGATAACACATTTTGGGAGGACCCAATTCCTGACAACTGTGACTCAAATTTCCCACCTCTGCAAATTATTTAGAAGCTGGGGACTGACAGCAAGCTATTACTTTAATGACTCCTATACATAAGTATATAATTGCCATCACTACTTGTAAATTCATAGAACTCTACCATGTATGCCTTAAAAAATATACATGTAATAAACAAGGAGCCCTGGTGGCGCAGTGGTTAAAGCAATCGACTGCTTACCGAATGGTCGGCAGTTTGAAACCACCAGTGGCTCCATGGGAGAAATATGTGGCAGTCTGCTTCTGTAGAGATTTACAGCCTTGGAAACCCTCCGGGGTCGCTACCAGTCAGAATTGGCTCGACGGCAGAGGGTTTTAATAACCAACTACCTCTGAATTGATAGAAGATAACTTAGCCCTTGAAATACCTATCTTGGGTTTCTAGGAGCATCAAGAGACCCCTGTTGTTACTATGTCACATGACTGCTGTGAGGGCTGTTCTGCTTCCTAGGGAACTACTCAGCAAATGAGAAGCACCATTACGTAAATATCCGGTATCCAAAAGCGATGATCAGGCTTGAGGTACTAATGATTCACTCATAGGTAATTAAGCAAGCTGCATTTTGGATCAGGCTTGAGGTACTAATCATTCACTCATAGGTAATTAAGCAAGCTGCATTTTGGATCAGGCTTGAGGTACTAATGATTCACTCAGGTAATTAAGCAAGCTTCATTTTTAAAAATGCATTACAATTCAGCTTTCAGTTCAACGTCTCATATGATGATTCATTACATTGCTTTTGTATTTTGTAACCTAATTTGTTAATAACTATGGGAAGCCACATAAGCCAGCTGCTGATCTATATAGTTCTCCCTTGCTGTGATCACACAGTCCTCTGTTAGAAACAAGCTATCATCCTGGTTAGAATGGGAGAAAAATGTAGAACAAAACTCAAATTCATAAAAAAGACCAGACTTACTGGACTAATAGGGACTGGAGGAACCCCCGAGACTATTGCCCTAAGACACCTTTTTAACCTGGATTGAAGCCACTCCTGGAGGTTACCTTTCAGCCAAATAATAGATTGGTCTATAAAATAATAACACCCGTGAGGAATATGCTCCTTAGAACAATCAACTATACGAGACCAAATGGGCAACATTTGCCCAAAAGCAAAGATGAGAAGGCAAGGAGGGCCAGGAAGACTAGAGGGATGGAAACTGGGAAGGCAGGGTGGAAATGAGGAGAGTGCTGACATTGCAGGGATAGCAACCAACGTCACAAAATAATTTGCATATGAATTGTTGAGTGGGAAACTAATTTTGCTGTGTAAACTTTCACCTAAAACAATAAAATGTTCCAAAAAAAAAAAAAAAAAACGCTATCAGACTGTTCAACTGCAAAGTTTTAAAACTCCAGTGTTTAACAGCATTCTTAAGAAATTATGGTGAATAGTTTATCTGATACCAACAGAGACATCTAACTAATGGCACTTCAGCCGTTTAGAATTCAGTTGTGGCAGTGTCATCAGCCTGGAGTGGACCAAGAGAGATGCTACACTAACGCTTACGCACTTTATTCGGCACTGACTGCGCAGATCCCCATCTTGGGTGTCTACAGTCTTATCTTCACACCCAAGTCTAACAAGTTTGGTTATCTGATTTCTGCTCCTGAACAAATCTAAGTATTGAAAATGTGTTGCTATAGGCAGGTGTATGATAAAATGCAACAGCTGACAGCAGAGGAGAGGACCAAAAAAAAAAGGGAAAACATTAAAAACATAGCAGCTTGAGACAATTTAATATAGGGTCCTGCATACCTCAATAATTCCTGAAGGTGTCACTGTGATTAAGTTACACAGTTGCTATTTAATGATGAATTTGAATCAGCTAAGTAGTATATGGTACTTAAGGAGGCAGGATAAGCATTGCATTCAGTGGCACCGATTTCCACTTTAAACAGTTAAACGATTAGTGTTTGAAGTGGCACATCCTTGGGGAAAATTTATGCAGAAAATACGATAACTCATTCCTTGATATCTGAAGGCTTCATCACAGTAAGTTTTTCTATTCAGTTGAAACGTTTTTCAAGTTTAATGACTGTAATTCACTACATAATTTAACTTGTTAAAGTATGAGGAAAACTAAAGCAACAGTGATTTAAGATTACATAAATCGTGCTAGATGACTTCCTCTATCTTTACCAGTTGCTGTCGACTGGATTTGGACTTATGGCAACCCCATGTGTGTCAGGGTAGAACTGTTCTCCTTAGGGTTTTCAGTGGCTGATTTTCTGGAAGTTGACAGCCAGAACTTTTTTTCTAGGTGCCTGTGGGTGTTCTCGAACCTCCAACCTTTTGGTTAACAGCTGAGTGTGTTAACCGTTTGCACTACTCATG